TTTTCGCATGTAAGCGTCTGCTATCTCCTTTATCAGTGGTTCATCCACCAACATAGTTGGCACACAACAGGGGTGTTATGGCCTAACTTCAACCATACAAGCGCATGAGCACACACTAGGGATGAAATTTCATGTAGGCTCTTCCAGGTAATCCGAACTGTTCGATAATTATGGCAGCAGAAAAGTAGATGGCCTCTTGGTCGTGGCATCTCTTTTCTAAAGAGAAAGGCTTATTTCGAGAAACATCTGCGTGCGGCTCTCTGGAAGCACTTGTTGCACTATGCCTGCAATGATCGCCCTATGAACTGACTTTGGTACAGCTATACATGATCTGAATATCTCGGAATTAGCAGCTGTGAGAATAGAGGAGAAAAGACTCTGAGTTACCAAATATCTTTACTGAGGGACCAATAAAAAAAGGCCGTCCTCGAACTCCGATGAATCTGAGGAGTTTCAACCCACCTGAATAAGAGAAATCATAACTGGCAAGTAGCCTTGCATATCGGGTGTCCAGTTTAGGCGTCTCCAGATGAGAAGCATCGAATCCAGATGCGTCAGCAGATGTACTACAGAGATGGAACATTTGTTAAGCGACCTCTGGTCAGTGGCCGGGGTTCGAACGAAGTGGCATGTGGAGCTTGGCGATTTACCGATCTTTTTGCAGGTACCAGCTGCTGGAACGCCGAGGTTGTCAAGGTGGTCTGAAGGGGGTTCTGGTACGGAGGAGACCAGCACTTTCTGTCTCTGTTCCTCCATAGTCTCATTCAGCACGGTATTGGAGTCCATAGTTGTGATACTAGTTGCAGTAGCACGACTGGGATTGTCTGCAGAGGCATTATTGTCGCCACGTCTGACACTCGCGCCCTGAGGGGGTAGGCTCCCACGCTCGTAATTTGGCGAGCTTTGGCCTGTCGGATGAAGACCAACACAGCTCAAGGCACGGCCGGGCGAGAAGCTGCGCTGCGAATGAACCTGCTTAGGCGGGCCTAGACTGTAGACTGGAGAGGTTGATGTTGAAACGACGACAGGGTTGGTCAAGATAGCAACGGTAGAATTTGAGCATATTTGGGAGCTCGGATCGTAAAAGCCACTTGATCCTAGGCTAAGCCTTCTTGTGATTCGGCTTATAAGACGTTCTTCGGAATCGGAAAGAGGGTGGACTGTCAGCTAACATAGGAGTAAGAAAAAAATATCGTTTGATCAAAGAAAAATCTTTGGAAATTCCTCAATGAGAATGAGATTTTATTACTCTTCAATCTGGAAAGAGATCTTTGAAAAGAGCAATTCTCTTTCGAATGACTTACTAAATCAGTTTACAGAGGGTTAACTGTAAGCGTTTTAGAATTGAGCCTAAATTGTAAATTTTATGTTACTATTAGCCGATAATCCCACATATTCATATGAGATTTTGACTGATTTCGGCTGATGCTCAAAAAATTGTATACAAATGTGAGGCGAGAATAATCTGGGACGATTTTAAATACATACTTTCTTTCAAAGTAAATTGAAGACTTACAAAAGGGGCATTGATGTGAGTAAGCATAATGATTTCACTAAAGCTCACTTTGTTTTGCCCTTAAAAAGGGGTTCTCAATCAGGGTGGACTACAGTTTCCACCTCGCCTCGGTCTTATCAGACCCCCAGCTTAAATTGAACCATGACAGTGCAGCATATAATCCCACGCCTTAATCACTATGCCACAGGGCAGATGTTAATTTAAGGTAGAATACGTCTCGATATTTATAGCATTTACTCAAGTTTGAAGACTGCTTTATTTGAATATAACTAATGTAGTCGATCGTGATGGCAAAATAGAACCTTGCCCCGCACTATAAATGTGGCATGGGAGAGGCCTGGCTTGCCTTAAATTCACATCTGCCCTCTGACACAATGGCATTTATGGCACTGCGACGCAGTGGTAACATGACGAAACAATGTACTGCACTGTCGCGTTGGGGATGCGGATGAGACCCAGGTGAGGTCAAAACTGCATTCAACTGTAGTTATGATAGCTCTTCGAGAAGCAAGTCCAAGTAAACTTCACTGATATCGTGAGGCCTACTCATATTATGGGGGGGGGAATCTATCATCACCTATCCGTCCTTTATGCACTTATGCAACATAGGGCGACTGGAACCTTCATTCAAGATTTACTGATAGTTTAGGAACCTACCTAATATGAATAAAAATATGCTTATTTTAACTGCCTCATTTATATCCGTATGTCCTCAAATTATTTTCGGCTGTCCTAATGAAACCCCTCCTCAGCTGCCTAGGAAACAACAGAGACTGATGAATATGCTAATTAATCTACGAAAAGGACCTTATGAACTCAACTTTTTAAACTATTGATTTCACGGATGGATTCAAAATGCTATGTGGCTAACCAGTCATTTTACACACTATGAAAACCGAGCTAATCAAAATGTTGTCCAAGATATACAAAGACGAGAAGCGACTATCTCAATATCCTCGCCAGAATAATGCAATCAGTAAATTACTTTAGGACTTATTTTATAAAGTTTCGCCAAGTAATATGGCCAGATCAAGGCTTTGAAAATGCCGAAGAACATTTATCTTTTACAGTCGCGGTGGAATACAGTATAATTTTAAAGTTCATCTAACAATCTTTGCATAACTGATGGTTTAAGAATACTACTTTCAACAATCTTCGCCCGATGTTTGGATTAACTAAATGCCTTATTTTATTTTCCGTGGGGAAACTTGGAATAAGCCGTACAAGAAAACTACCGTACCTGCTTTAACCATTCTGCATAACTATATTTACTTTTTGCTAATAAAAATATTCTAAGACCATAACATCAATCACTCTTCTTGAGAACAGATTTGATGGGTATGAGGAGGCTATCGTCTAAACACATTTGAAGAGGAAATTAGATAGATTTGTGAATAGATAGTGACAATATCTTAATATTAAAATTAATAAAGAATCAGGTGAATTTTAAGTGATCTTTGTAAAAACTTGGTCTAGGATGCAGTGGATATTATTACTTATAGTTTGGCGATGACACAAAAATGTCTTAATAGTTCCATTTAGATATACTTCTCGTAAATTCAATATAATTGGAGTTAAACTAAGAAAATAGGTGAAAAAAAATCTCGGTTGAATCTGTTTAGAGCATGATTGGATGAAAAATTAATCCTAATTTTTCACATACGCTAAAAACTCATAATATAATGCCTTAGTTGTTTTTTACTTATCATTAAGTCTCGGCACTAAAATAAGGCCAGCATCTTTAAATTACAATTTTGATAATGTGTTCAGTTTGACATTGGGATTATTAGGGGAAAGATAGTTTGGATAAATGAGGTTAACTTTCGAGTAGGCTTGCATTTCCTAGTGAAGTAATCTTTGCAATGTATAAAAACATGCCAACTCACTCAATGTGGTCTGAATGACCAACTTTAATATGCTCTAAGGATGAAATAGGAGTTGGCTTAGCTTGACTTGTCTAAAAGTCACATTTAACCCAACGTAAGTAACGTGGTTACCTTTGTCTGTGTGACCATCGCACTCCAATGTGGCCGACTAGATCTAGAAAAGACCGAAAGGCATGAAAATAGGATGTTTTGGACGGCGAAATTTAATAGTTAAATGCAAACTTGTCCTTAATTCAGAATGAACAGCCAACTATTCCAGAGTGATAATAAAATGCTTCTTGAGTAATAGTTAATCAAAAATGGGTTTGTAAAACCTTTTCTGGGGTATAAACCAAATATTCAGATATTTGCAGAAAATAAGTGAGGAAAATGCATGCCATAGATTTTAACAAAAAGATTTTTTTACAATTTTTTGACGTCTACTGTCCGGAAATTATTTACTTTTGCAATGGACAATTCCAAAATAAAGATGATGCCCTGAAACGAACTATAATATTTAATGAAATTGTGTTTAAGTGTGATGCTAATTATTCGAGTACAGTTCTTATGAAAACTAAACTAAAGTCAAATGCCTAGTAGTGGTGGAGTACTGTCTATAATATCTCTGTAAAATATGTCGAAGTATGTAATCTTGCAATATTAAAGGGGCGAATGACTCCAAACATATCAACTTGGCCTACGGCTTCAGTTCTCAATTTTCCGTCGAATACAATGTGTATCCATATGTACAAAAACTAATAGCTTTCGTCGAAGGCCAAAATTAAAAAAAATAAATATCAGTTCAAGATAAAATTTCTCATAATTTAATAAATTCTAAAAGTGGTAGCAAGGTCATACGACAAATAAATCAAACTACCAGGCATACAAAACAAAAAAGCCGCCTAGCATGAGAAAATACACGAGACAGAGTGCATTGTGAAGGTAATTTATTCGGATGAAAAATCCGCAAAATGTAAAAACGCATAACAATGGCACTATACAAATGCAAGAAGAGGTGAACTTTTGCTCATATAAATGAGGTTACTATATTCAGAAGCTGAGTTGAAGCAACGCAAGGGGAAATACAAGTAAGGAAATATATCAGAAGAGTTGGCATGCGTCTTAAGTAGAGTGACTTAAAAGGCAGTGTTTATGATTCACGTATTCGATTAGTATTTTATAAAATCAGTAGCCTGCTCTAGACTTATCTCAATTTCGAACAATATTATACCAACAGAAGAGTACGAGTCTGTCTAACCGAGTTTACTCAACTCTGTTGTTTGCCGGGAGACTTCCAAGAACGTACATTGTCCTACATTCTCTGCGATCGTAGACATTTTGTGCAGGAAGTCCAGCATCAGACAAGGGTGCAAAAAAGCCAGACAAAAGTTGCAAAAGAGGTGCTATGGCTGCTCGAAGTCGCCCTGAAAGCAAGAACAAGTCGTGCAAGAGAAGTAGAGTCGTATCATCATTGGAAAGAGAAGCTGGTTTTAGGCGTAAAATAGTTTTCCCGAGTATCCTGAATGTTAGATTCCCTCAATAGCCATGGATCTCATATTTCACGTTTATTCAGCTCAGTGGTAGATAAGGTCCAAAAGACTTGGCCTCACAGCAAAGGAGTCATGCTGAGCCATTGGGTTGGATGCAATATTGTAAGCATTATAATTTGCCTTCGTCAGCTTTGCCTAGGTGATGTGTTCACCCAAGCATTTATAATTCGCCGAGAGATTTTCAAACATAGGAGTTGCCAAAGGAGCATGATGATGTAGTAATGGGACATACAATAAAGGGGCTTCTAGTGTATACTTAATATAGCTAGACAAAATCACAATTTTTAGATGGCTTACAAACATTAACCCACAGGAAGTAAATAATAAGTGCGTAATGAAACTTGATAAAGTGCAGAATTTTTGGCACAGAAATTGGATGGTTATTTAAGTCCCAGGATCAAATAATTACAAATTAGGCTTAACTATTGCGAAAAAAGCCCCAACTGGAGTCGGCTTATTTTTAGGAGTCAAAATAAAAGCATACATACACCAAAATAAGACCTCTTCTACATTTATTATATTAACTGGACAGAAATTATACTTAATAGTCTAAAAGTTTCTTACGAAATTCGGCTTAAAACGCATCGTCCTCATATTGATTACATCAGCAAGCATTAAAAGATCACACTTAAGACAATTGTTCGATTCGTCGTGAGAAATCCCTGCAGAAGATAAATTATGCGGATTAATTAAAAGGGATAGTCGAGGGATCATTAAGCATGATAAATAGCATGTCCCTGAGATGACGTAGCCTGCTATATACTACCCATTTAAAGTTGCCACTAGACTCATGACACATTTTTGTAAAATCCTTATTTGTGTATTAGCTTTTAGTACACGACAGCTCCGTTCAACTTCTTTGTTAGATGGTGCAAAACCTAGTAGGGTCGAAACCCTGTGACAAAAGTCTAACCTCTCAAACGTATTATCGTGCCAAAGCGGACTTATTTCCTTCCCTATCCCTTCTCAGCGTATTCATGCGTTAAATATACAAGTGATAACCAATTCAATCCTATCATACCCAAATGTTTAGAGATATCTAATGGCTTAATAAGCATAAGAGAGAGAATATATATGGATCGTGACATGCAGCTGGCAGTTGGCAAGTGAATGCTAATGCAGATCTAAGCTCATAAGCATGTATTAAATCCGGTATTAGAAAGAGAAATACATTTGATTGATGCTATAATATGAGGTGATGCTGCCAGGGGAATGAATGACTGCTAAAATTTACGCGAGCCACCTAAAGAAGTGGTATGAATCGGCTTCCATGCTCAAGCTATTTTATCTTAGCTTTTAAAATTATGTCTAGCCGGTTGGGTGGCGCATTAATTGAGAACTCATGCATATCTCGAGGGCTTTATGACTATGTGGGTGAAAGTCTCCCTCGCTCAATTAGCACTAACTAAAATAGGGGAAAAATTTGCGTGACGGGCGTTATCAACGACTAGCTGAAGGATAAACTAGTTAGAAGTCTCCGGCAAGACAATTCAAAATAACTTGGCCTAAATAGTGCCGTAATCAGAGCTTGAAAAATTCCTTAGAGTCAGTAAAGAAATGTTTTTAATTTCTAGTAGTGGTGATTTATTAGGATAAAATGAGATTATGTATAGAACCACAACCACATAATAAAAGGCAGTGAAAGTCTAATTACTGCATAATTGACCTAGTAATTCTTAAAATAGACTTTGATTTATGCTATCCTTAGCATGGATATTTTATAGTGTACAGTTTATTGCGAGGATACGCTTAACTTCCCCGTAAACTAAAATACTATGCTCCACTATTTCAACTAGATACAAAGCACTTAAAAATCCTTAGATATTTACTTAAGTTTTAATTTAACATATTCTATAAAACAGATATGATATGGCCACAAGTATTTGATGCTTTACTTAAAATGTAGCTGTATGCGTAAGGAGCCTTTGTTCTGAAAGTTTTTAAATCAGATAGATATCGTAAATCAAGTCCTCGAGAGGACAAGAACTTCACCTAATGATAAAGTGATGTCTACTATAGAAATTTTCTAGGCAACTTCTAAGTTCACTT